CGAACCTAATTATTCACAAGTGAGTAAGCTTCGTGAAGTGCTACTTAAAGCTTCAAAGCATCATTCAGCTGTAACAGGTGGTTCAAGGTAAACAGATTTTTAACTACTTTCATTTCATACTTTTCCTGATCCCCACCTAGGATTGCATAAAATGTACATAATCACATTGCAAAACTATTCAATATTATACCTTGTCAAAAATGCCTTATCATTTTACTGATTGTCTGGATATTCTTTCTGGATTTCATAGAGATCTTCTGGATACTCATCGATAAGCTTAAATATCACAAAAGAATGTATTTTTGAAAACTAAAATTGATGGTAAATATGCAATTTATAAACCAATTATTAATATCAAATCATTAAAATAAATAAATTAAACTTCAAGGGTGATTAAAATTTAGTTAAGCAATCAAAAAAACGTTATTGCTAGAAATTATTAAAAACAAATAATTTACAAATGATTTCAACCCACTATGACTACTTTTTAATTGCAAATTAAAAACCTATAATTAAAAAAAAACATTTTTCGTCGATAGCATCACATGTAGTCTATTTCACCAACTAAAAGCGATCGCAAAATACGTTTATTAACAAAAATGTTCATAAATTTTAGTTTTTATGGAATGAAAATTTTTTATCACCGATTTTTAACGGTCGTATTTTCTTTTCTATTTTTTTGTTATTATATTTCCTGTTATATAGAAACAGCTTAAAGCGACGTAACGCACTATTTATGGCTAATAACTGTAGTTTATATCCCAGGCTGCAATAAAATTCTCTTTCCCTAGTTCGTTCGCCTCATCTTTATGTTTCTTTTTTATTTTTGAGGGTGGAGGGAAATTAACGAAAAAGACGTGAAATCGTGAACCGGAAAAGTTGTATTTTATCCAGGTTAAGGGGTAAACATTTTAGGAGAATTACGATTTTTCTAAACAAACTTAGAATCGACAAAATGCTTTTAATGGTTTTAAAGTGATTGGAAATCCTGTCCAAGGCGAAGAAAGTAGAACGCCGAACAGAAAAGGACTTTAAACCTTTATCTACCATCGAAACGTAGAGTAGTTCAGTAAACCCTTAGAACTTTATAAAGGGCGCAGTGGTATTAAAATTTGAAACAATTACCTTACCAGTGCTTGAGCGACCTGAGTTTATAACCATCGTTTTCATGCAAATGTTCGCGGATGTTACCGTTTATGACTCGCAAGATTGAAATTGTGACGAGAAGTAGAACAAAGTTACCAGGAATTACTCTGTTTAATATGTCCTCGATTTAATTGGCGTATCAAAATACCTCTGGCACACTGTTAGAAATAATTTTAAACTTAATGAACGTAAAGTTTAAAACGGCGTATTTTATAAACATTGGTGTTATTTTAAACCTTTCAACCTTCTTTAGAACTCAGAGACCACTTAAAAAATCATCACGATACATTTCAAAACTTTTATTTTTCTTAGGTTGTAGGGTCAAAATAGTTTCGTCACGCGACCTCAACATTAAAACGCGATAAAGGAAGGAAACTATTGTCAAATATAAGAAATAATGGATATTACTTTTTACCGGATTGTTTAAAAAATGTACGATACAAATTACTTTATTCTTTTTAACGGTTACAACAAACATTTTTGAAATTTATCAAATGTTTTAAAAATGTTTCGTTGTAGATAAGAGTCAAGGGAAAATTGTTGACATAGCTAGATTAACCCAACAAAAAAATATGAATATTTACGAAAGTTTCGAAATAAGACAAAGCTAAAAAAATATGTAAACGGTTAAATAAAATGTTCAAATCCATTAATATTATTGAAATGTTTGTGGCTCTTTACATTTTCTAGATTAAAAGCCGTTTATGAGTACAACTTAAAAACACTATTAAAATAACTAGGACATAGACCGCTTAAATTAGTTTTAATGAGAAAGTTCCAACTTTGTTCTAACCTTTTAACTTAGTCATGTTTTTTTTAATTTATTTGCAAGTTTGATAATAATATATTATAAATGGATTCTATTCGATTTATTATAAACAACATTGATAGATTTTAACGAAACGTCTATTTAGATTTTGAGAAAATTTGGTTCATTCGAAGAAAATCGTTTTTGGAGCTGATTCAAATTTTGAGTTCAAATCGACTTAGGTAATAAAAATGGCCTATTTTTGGGAAAATGATGATTTGTAAGAAAAATTTATCTTTTTAATTCCAACTTTCCATGTTTGATAGTTAAATATACGGTAATTAAACAAATCGTATATTTTTTAAATTAATTAATGATCTGATTAAATCAGATGAAGTAATGAGATAAGAACCATGACATATGTTCATATAATATTAATATAGACATTGTGTTATTGTCTTAATTCCCACATGCCGGTTTTTTTAATGTAATTTTGCCTAAAGGTAAAGTTAATTAAACGTTATCCTAAAGAAAACAAAAATTAAAAAAATCGTACCAGAAATACTAATTTAGATATCATGACGAAATAGCCGGCATATTAAAGCAAATTTAATCAAGTTTATTTATATTATAAATGATTTGTTAGTTTCCACAAGTCTCGTAGTTATGAAGCTTTCAACATAACTCTGCTTGTATCGACGTTCAATTGAGAAAATCACAAATTAAAAAAGTCATACCTTCAAAACGGAGTTAGATGTCATGATGAGATAAACGGCATAATAAAGCAAATTTAATCTAGTTTTAGTGTGCATAAATTCAATTTTTAATTTCCATAAATTTTGTTGTTGGGACGATTTCAATGGAACTCTGAATATTTAGCGCAATTGAGGCTCTATTGAATAGAATAAAAACGAATAACGAAATAGGAAGTATATTAGAGGTTCAAGTGCAAGTCCAAAAGTTTTACAACTATAGAAAATTCAGATTATTCTACAATTTTTATTACAATTAAATTCTAACAAAGATATGAATTCATAAAAGTTATCGACAAGAATAATTTTTTTGGATTCAATCACAAAACAGATTTGAATATGAGTTCCTAAATAAACAAAACTGATCACTTCCGGTTTCGCAATTCGACTGAAATTTAATATCTACATTTTTCATAATTATGAAGACATACAAATTTTCATGCATATTTTATTTAAACCAGTTTATATAAAAAATGATGAATATGGTCAGGTAAAGTACCACTTCAGGTAAAGTACTACTTCAGGTTACGCGTTTCGAGTGAAATTTACGTGAAATATACATGCTTTTTATAATTTTAATCGGTTTTGCAATATTTAATTTGTTTATCTCGATTTAAACATAAATATTTATATAAACATATATGTAAAACAAGTTGAATATGGTTTCAAATAAACAACCACTTCCGCTTGATTATCCTTCTAAATTTCTAAAATTGACGTCTGTGGAACGCCGTTATTTATTTCGATTACGTTGAATATTTCAATAACCATTTCAATCGAAAGCACAGTTCAACATAATACGCCGAATCATTATAATAAAAATATTGGTTTATTACCAATATTTGATTGAATAGAACGAAAAGCCATTATGAAATAGAGAGCATATTAAAGTTGATCTAATTTATTTGTAGTATTGTCTTATTTTCAAAATAACTCTGCCTTGAAATTTTACCTTACCTTAATTGAACGAATTAAACAGCACATGAATTAAAAAAATCGTGACTTATTTGTATTAAAACTGATTTATTAGTTCCCACAAGTTTCGAAGTTATGAAGCTTTCAACATAACTCAGCTTATTAAGCGGTTATTGAAGTTTAATGGAGAAAATTACAAATTGAAATAATCATATCTTCAAAACTGATTGAGTTATCATGATGAAATAAACAACATATTAAAGCAAATTTATTCTAGTTTTAGTGTGCATGAATTGATTTCTTAATTCCCATTAATTTTTTTGTTAAGATGTTTTCAACATAACGTTTAGCGTTTAGTTGAATCGAGGCTATAATGAAGAGAGTAAAAACGCATGATGAAATGCAGTAAATATGAAGCAAATTTTATCTAGTTTATTTGAGTTTTTGTTTAGTCCCCCGTATATCTTGTTTTTATGATGTTTTCAATACAACTCTCTAAGTTTACTAGTTATTAAGGTTATAATGAAAAGAACAAAAATTAAAATAAAATAAAATATCGTATTTTAAAAGCTAATGGACAAAATATAAATATATAAGGTTTTAAAGTAGTATCATATTGGTATAGATTTTGAACAGATCCCTTTTCGATTTTAGTTTCGAATTTGTGTTATTCTAATTTGCTGAATAATATAAATGTTGGTTTCTCTTGTAACATTAAGAAAAGATTTTTATAACAATTTCAAAACAAAATAGTTTATTAATTTAATTGGTCTAATGCTTTAGTACATATAACAATGTAAACAAAATTATATTATTCCCCATGCAAACGTAAACTCTGTTTGTTTAATATTTAATGTTTTAATTAATTGAAATTTCAATTAACATACTTTAAAATTGTTATTTTTGGAAAAATGAGAGGAATAAATTGATTACTATGTAGAACAAACAAATACTGATACAATCACACGAAACTATTTGGGTTAACGAAAAAATAATTAAATAAACAAATCTGAGTGGAATTTCCACTCAAAACAAACATTGTCTAGCGTAAAGAAAATTTAAAAATCAATTTTTTAAACACAGAAATAAAAATAAACAAGGTTAAAATAAGAGAAATAAAAATGAAAACAAAAAACACGGGCGAAACATTTTAAGTAATATTCGTTCTGACAAGTTAATAATTTGTCACAAGATCAACTCGTTACTTGAGCTTGGTCTAAAATTTATGTTTTAAAGTCTGAACACGTCCTATACAACATCCAAGAGATAATGATAAATTCATGTCTCGTCTGCTGTAGAACATTTTTCACTTCATCAAAAAAAAAAAAAAGAAAATTCTCTTTAATAAATTTCCCGCCATCAAAATAAATAATATTTAGAAAAAAAGAATACAAAATATACTCCAATTTTAAGATCGTAAAACTTCAAAGTTCGTTTACCTCTTGCTTTCCAATAGTACCCAACATTCCAAACACGCGAAGTAACACAGCAAGCACACGATTGTAAGTCCCCTCAATGAAAGAAAACACCGTTTCAGTTTTAACCACTAAAACTGCCCCAGTTTTTTTTTAATTAATGCTCAATAAATAGTTTTAAAAGCAAAAATTAATACAACAATCTAATATAAAATAATGTAATCTTCCCCTTTTAAAGTTAAAATTATTTTGATTTTTTCTATATTGAAGATTCGTAATAAATACGAGAGCTTTTTCGCGATAGAAGCAGAGCTTTAGCCCTCAGGTTTGACTACCGTCGCGAAACTCCACAACTTCGAGCGAGTTGTGACCGAGGTAGACCCCGACGAAACCGGCGTACGCAAGCGTATTTTGTATCCCCTCTTCCTGTACAATATCCCGTAGGATCCCCACGTTGATGATGTATTCGTGCAGCATCTCTCTTTTCTTCCTTGGGACGTTTTTCAATTCTAACTTGGCCCCTTTTTCGTTCCTTTCATCTGAATCCACCTGTAAGTACTTATCCGATCCTTGATCTTCCTATCACTTTTTTACCTTGACATAAGATAAGAATAAAAGAAAAAATCAAAGAGAAAATAGATAATTGAAATTTTCCAGAATAAAGTGTTAACGTCTTAAAATTAAAGTTGTGATTTGTTAAAATTTGATTAAATTACTAAAAAAATTGTACATATTCAAATGTCCCTTATAATCACTTTTTTAATTGATAACTCATTATAACTAACATTGTTATCTATTGGAATTGTGATAATATGACAAAATTGTGTCAAAAATCGAACTAATTCAATAAAAGCATAACACACAATGGGTATATCTCGAAAATATGAAATCTATTTTATCCATATAAATGAAAAGGATCAACAGAAAGCCGCGACCTTGGTTTATACGCATAAAACCGCGATTTAATTGAAAATCAAGGTTACAAATATGATGCAGCACAGCGGTCGTTGGTTATCGGTTGATTACATTATTAGGTATGGAATGTGTTAATACAATATGCAAACCTTTGTGCGGCAGTGAATATAATTCAATAAATTGAATCTCATTAAATGGAACTAATTTAAAAGGCGGAAATTGTTAATATTTGAATGCAATAAATAAAACTGGAAAGCTTTAATAATTTAATAAGTATGAATAAATCACACAAAATAAAAGAGAAGATACAAATCACATCGATAAAAAGCGGAGGTGTAACGAAGGTCTTGAAAACAAGGTAAATCAAAAGCTTACGAAGATCTTAACAAGAGAAATTCCGTTGAAAACAGCATTTATAGAGAGGTCGTTTCGAAATGAATCTTTCATGTCGCGATTTTGTTGATGCGCGCAGTACCAGCAGGAATTATGCATAAATATTTAAAGCAATTCGAGTTACTTTGCACGATGCTTTTGCAAGAAACGCAACCCAAGCTTTTTAGGGATAAGAGTAGGACATCGGACGGCAGAGTAATAGAGGGCCATTTTAGTGGTGGTAGCTTTTTGCTGCCTTCGCATTGGTCCTTTAAAACGGTCGAAATGCTTCCTGTGAAATATTGATAGCGTACGTGCTTCAAAATCGTTATACATATTGAACATCTCCTCGTGCCAGGAATACATAAAATAACAAGAACGTTACTGCTTAATTTAAAGGTTTTCTAAATCTAAATCATTATACTTGAACAACTACACACCGTGATAATGTAACGTTCATGTTAATCGTTGAAAACATTATAAATTGCACTGCATCATTGATTGGAATGGAACGTTATTTTTCCGATACTAGTACACTTTTAATCACATCAAAACTAAACGCACGTTTATAGACCGCGATTTATAGCTGACCGGTCACAATGAAAAGCAGAATTTGTAATATATCTACATCACTTCGTCATAAAATCAATATACACTAATATTTATGGTATCCAACCAAAAAGAACTAGAGTTATAACCCAAACCATACGACATCAATCTGCCAAAGATAAATATTTTCTATTGTTTCAAATATTTGGAGAATACACATATTTTAAAGTCTAAATAACTACTCGAGAGAAAAATTAATTTTAATCAATACGATATCGATGGTAAAGATAAATAGAAAAATCTGTCTACTTAGTTTTTGGTCTATTCGGTTTTTACTTGACAGTATTGGAGGGAGTTGAAGTATAAAATAAATAAGGTTTAGCAAAGATAGTAGTTGAAGTACTCGAAATACCTGAGTTGGAGTAGAATACCTCTGGATCGGCGATCAAGAGTTTTCAGCAGCTTGTAAAAAATTATCTTAATGCCTTCAACGTCATTCAAATGTTGTGGAAGTACCCGCTCTTTTGATTTGGTAACATTCAGATGCCTTAGTGATTTCCAGAGATCCCTGGAACTTTTATTTGTAAAAAATGATTCATAGTACGCCTTCTGCTCGGTCTCTATTGCGCGTGCAACGTGTTTTCTAAAAGATTTATATTCATTAAGAGCTAGTTCAGTGTTAGAATTTTTGTATTTGCTGTAAAGACCATCTTTAAGCCTAATCATGTCTCTAAACAATGTTCTCAAGATTTCATGGACAATGGTTCTCGGTAGATTTGATGATAAAATCAATTCATTGATAACATATTAAATAGTTTTGACACATATACCATCGCAGGTATAATAGATATCTATGAACAACAGCAAGATTTAAAAGCTTACTGCAATTCACCAGATACAATTCAGTTCATAAAATGATAATTCCTGCACCTGATCTACGCTGCATGAAACCCTACGCCCAAAGATACGTTGTTAGCAGATGTATTTCTCCACATCAAAGTAACATAGCTGTATGACTTTGTAGAAGTGATAAGATTTCGTTGCTAAACGATTTTTATAAAATTTATAAAAAAAAATTTTTTTAAATCAATAATGCATTTTAAAAACCTATAAATATAAAACCTCTTAGGAAGGTACAGCAATAAACTGAAATCAAACAAGCTCTAGTTCATTTCAAAATTTTTATGAGTACCACGTAGTTCCAAGAATTTGTATTTTCCAGTTTCTGGCCCGGAATTCTTTAAAGGGATTTGTCCCGCAAGTGGTATTTTAAATTATACCCCCAGTCTCGACGTTTTAAATAAATTTTTCCAAGAAGTGAATTTATAAAATCAGTTTAATATCCCTACCTTTTTTAATAGAAAAGTCGCCTTTATTTTTTTACTGGTTTTCTTGACTCAATTTTACATTTAATACCAACTGCAGAGTAATAAAATCCGCAGACCAGTTAACAATTTTAATATACGGGGGTAGTACGGAGAGAGACGTAGAACTTTAATGATTCGAGCATTAAGTTGACGACCCAATAACTTTAACGCCAAGTTTATAATAAGTACTTACCGGAGAGATACCGTGGGTGGGGCACGTGCTGCACTATTTTCGATAGCACGTAGTAAGCCCTCTACGTGATTTTGGCTTTATGTTTCATATAACATAACGTTCCGGAATAATGATCATTGCAAACTGCATACACACATCCACAGCAGCTTTCAAACAATACGTTTATCATTAGCAATATACATGGGAATTTATTGTCACCGAAAGAGATAGATAGAGTTGAATTCTACTAATGATGCGTGATAGAAGATTAAGCTATTGTTATAACACGATATTCAAAATAAATTTAATTTAAATTAGGTTATTTATAAATAAATAAGACATTCCTAAATCCATAAAATAAAATTCTAAACGACAGGTTTACCAATTTTAAAGTTAAATAAACTGTGGTAAGTTCATAAAATGGAAAAATATAGGTGGTAAATCTATTTTCCCGTAAAACCAACTACTAGGGTGCTGAACGTTGCAGACCCAACTAAATTGGTTATGTTTTATTACTGGGACAGTGGGGCCCGCATTGCACCTACCGAAGATTAACGACGGTTTCGAATCGAACGCGGCAACGAACGCCGTATCATCCCATTAAATCCCTGGATAAAATAAAATAAAAAAAAATACAATGCCTAAATGAAAAACTATCACTAGTCGTATGATTTGATCAGTTGCAAAGAAGATGATGTGAAAAAGGTTCCATTTCAATTAGGATTATCCTAACAACATTTTGTGAATAGTCTTTTCGTTGTTTTTATGTAAATAGATTAACATTCAAAGAAAACTAACGATGCGAAAGAAAGAAATTGTTTTTAAATTGCTTTTTGATCCATAAAAAATCCCGGTAATGTATGGAGGAGAGAAAAAAAGTTCGACACGCACGCATTGCACAGTTCTTTGGAATTTGAAAACGGGAATTTCCGGACGTCCTCGGATGATTTATAACCGTTTACCTGTCACGTCTTGACCGAAAACTATACGTGGACGAATACAAGGAATCAATCATTCCACGTGCGCAGTTCCGTCACAACGAAAATTTACAAGGGCAAGGTTCTGGTCGTGTCGTTTATCTTTTCGCCGGAAAATGTTTCCTGGGGGTTGTTCCTTTTTTTTCACATAGGTAGATTGCCCTCCACGCCTAAGGGAATGAAAGTGAAACCTGCGATCTTTTCCGAATCCGACCTCCTTCTAAAAAGAAAATGCGCAATTTCTTTCGAATCCTTTCTAAATGGTACGCTCCATTTGGTATGTTTTCCCCCACAGTCGTTATCGTGTAATCTTCTTTATACTATTCAATAGGCGGTGAAAAACGATTTATAAAAAAAAAAACAAAATTATCGAAATTGGTTGTTAAATACGTCCTTTTGTCTTCGCAAATGTGTTGATGTCTTACTATTTCATAAATCACAAATGCTTTTCTGAACTTCCTGTTGTTGCTTAGGTCGTGGAACTGTTGCCAAGTGCAGTTGGAACTTATCCAATATCCTCTAACAAAGAAATGTGGAACATTTAGATCATTTTAACCGTACGTAGAAATGTATGTTTTAAAGGAAAATACTAAAAACATAATGCAAAATTAATCAATTGGCTTTAATTTAATTAAAAATTAAAAAATTTGGAATTTAAAATGATATTTGACCATTAAGCAACGGTACAGTCTCAATAAATAGGTTCTGTGACGCGATAATGGTAGTAGTATCGTTTTCCAATATATAGAGTGGAAATTGTGAGCAAACGTTCTAAATCCAACTGGTTTTAACTATAATCCCATGCAAACGCTCCCTATTTAGTTTGCTATAACGTGAAAAGCGTGATATTTATCTAACCTAAATAGTAACACTACGTTAAAATATGTACATCAAAAAGTGAGCATCAAATAGAATCCCATAATATAGCACTGATCCCATAGTATGTAATTGAAAAACCAGATGAATTTCACAATTTTGGTTA